CTTTTTTGACCTACTCTGGACACACCGCCGCGTAAACTCTGCACCTTAATTTGGTTCACCTGATCTCTAAACTCCCGTATCAGCTCTGCTTTTCGCCCTACTTCAGCTTCGATCTCATTCAGTTCACGCGTATGTAGTATTTCGCCCAGCTGTCGAGGAGATCGCACATCGAATGCTAGGGTTGCGTTTTTAAATTTATTGCCCCTTTGTACATATTCGTACCCGTCCTTTCGCATAGCGAAAAGGATTAGCGTCATTAGTAACTCGGTGACAGTGCGGATGATCGTTTCCCATTCCAGCCGCTTTTGTTCCTAGACCACAAAAACTTGACTAATCTTTTTCAGCCGCAAGTTTCTTTTCCATTACATTAAGCACCAAGGCTAACCTGATATCATTCAACAGGCAACCCAAGAACTCGGTGCTTCTTTCTCGGCACCAGTCTAACGCTTTTACCACTTTGTCGCGGATTTCTCGCAGGGTTTCCTCCTCTTGTATGCCATCCAATCGTGAATCGTTTTCGGTCTCTACTGATCTGGCATCTTCGACTTCCTTCGAGGTAACCTCTTCGCTTTCTTCCCCTCCCGAACGCATTCTGGACCTCCTTAGCACTCGACTGGCTTAGCCCTCATATTGGGCGCGCCTCGCCTAGCTATGGCGAACTGCGCCCTGACGAGACTTCGCGGCCCGCTCGTACGTCCCTGCTGCTGCACCTTCTCTGTTGAGCAGCACTGAGACACCGCTGTCGTGACGGAAACTTTGTTGACACATTGACGCAACAGAACAACAGAAAGAATGAAATCTGTGATATTAATCACACTTATATATACAAGATTTCAGCACGTAAAAATCAACAGTGATCATCGGGAAATGGCAGATCATCAAGCTAAACTACCTTCCCGAAACTGCTCGCCAAAACTGCGAGCCGTCAGATTTTCCGCTTTACCCAACAAATTTTTTTTCGGGTGAGCCGTTTGTAGCATCCATGTTGATGGGTGCCAAAGTAAGGGAAGTGTATATAGATGGAAGGAAATAGTGGGAGAAAAACTGTAGGAAAGACGGAAGAGTTAAGACGCTTCGGTCCATCAAGTCATATACGTCTTAGATCAACACCACGACTGGATCTCGTCAGCATAACTGTCGCGGTGTTCAGAGATAAGAAGGAAAGGAGGGAATATAAGAGAGAGGAAAAAGGAGGAAAAAGAAGATAGAAAGAAAAGTGGGAAAAGAAAGAGAGAAAAAAGAAAGGAAGGAAAAAAGAAGAAAAGAAGGAATGGAGTTTATTAGTTATAAGTATTGAGAAATATAAAAAATAATAAATAATAAAAGGATGTTGTAAGACGAAAGGTACTTCGATGGGCGTTCTGTGGTTGCTCGGCGCAGCATCATCACCATTGGTTTTGGCACCCTTTTGACATTGCTAGAAATATTTTTATCGTAAGCGTTATGAACGGAATGTTGGTTACGCGACGTATGTGTGGATTGTTGGGGTGATATAAATACTGCAGAAGAGCACGCACCAGATCTCGACAACACGGGTCAGAAGGGGGGAAATACTTAGAGAAGTGATATTTATTGCGGTGTACGAACATGTGGACTAGTTGAGTAATGCACTGAGAAGAAAGTCCTTTATGAGAATAATGGAGGAGGAGACGCCAAGCGGACGTGATAAAACCTTGATAAGTGGATTCGCTAACCAGGTACCTATTAAGCTGAGTATATAAAATACCGCTATGGACAGACGGGTGTAAGTTGCTGCGAAGAGAAGAATATTTAATAATGG